GCTGCAAGTAGGGGCAAGACTACTAACTATGGAAAAGTTTGCCTTTATAACAAATCAATCTTTTAGTGTCTTGATTACTGAGCTGTCAAAACGTGTCATGTTTGTAAAAAAAAGAAAAGAAAAGAAAGCTCTCAGATTTCAAGTACAGCTGTAAAAAAGATTTAGTTTTTGACTGTGTCCTCAGGTATAAGTGGCAGACAGAGAGGCAACGCTACCACAGAGACCTGGAGCAGAACGAGGCCTTCATCTCAGCTGGAGAATCTCTGAAAGATCTCATCAACCTTTCTCAAACCTCAGGCAGTGGTTCCGGGCTCCCCCTGCTGGTGAGAAATCAGCAATGCAGACTGTAGGATCTTTGTAGGCTCATTTTTTTATTCACCGTGTTCATGCTCATTTTTACAGGTGCAGCGCACCATTGCGAAGCAGATCCAGACAGTGCGTCTTATTGGAAAAGGCAGGTATGGAGAGGTGTGGCTCGGCCGGTGGAGGGGGGAGAAGGTAGCAGTGAAAGTGTTCTTCACTCGAGAGGAGGCCAGCTGGTTCAGGGAGACAGAGATCTACCAAACCGTGCTCATGAGACACGAGAACATACTAGGTACACTTCATGTCATTCAAGATGATCTCGTTCATGTGTAGTGTTTGAAATTGTAAATCAATTGTGTAACGCAACTCTTCGATCTGTCTGAAGGCTTCATTGCTGCTGACATTAATGGCACTGGAGCATCTACGCAGCTATACCTGATCACAGACTACCATGAGAACGGCTCTCTGTATGACTATTTGAAGTTCACTACTCTGGACACGCAGGCCCTGCTCAAACTGGCCTACTCTGCAGCCTGTGGCTTGTGCCACCTGCACACGGAGATCTACGGCACACAGGGAAAACCAGCCATCGCTCACAGAGACCTGAAGAGCAAGAACATCCTCATAAAGAAAAATGGCACCTGTTGCATCGCTGACCTTGGGCTTGCTGTCAAATACATCAGGTGCTTCGTCACTCTTCGTTCATTTTGAAGTGGTTTGTTCAGTCATTTTGAGGAAGTAACGTTTTTTTGTTTGTCTCAGTGACACAAATGAAGTGGACATCCCACTGAGCACACGTATGGGGACCCGACGCTATATGGCTCCAGAGGTCCTGGATGAGACTCTGAATAAGAACCACTTCCAGGCCTACATCATGGCGGACATCTACAGTTATGGGCTGGTTATATGGGAAATGGCCAGACGCTGTGTCACTGGAGGTATTCACTGGCAAATCTTTTTGTTTTGCTTTATACTTTATCTGTTAAAAGATTTTTGATAACACTTTAATATAGGGACCAATTCTCACTATTAACTAGTTGCTTATTAGTATGCCTATTATTAACATAATTGGCCGAAAGCTTATTTATTCAGCTTTCAGGTGATATATAAATCTCAATTTTAAAAAAAATTGACCTTTATGACTGGTTTTGTGGTCCATGGTCACATATATTCTCCATGACCATATTCTACATCCCTAATCCTGCCCAATACCTAAACTTAACAACTACCTTACTAACTATTAATAAGCAGCAAATTAGGAGATTGAGGCAAAAAGGCCTGACTTCTCCAATCATTTTGTCTGCATAAGCCCCGCCCCTTTCTTTTAATCAACTGCAAGCTTGCATTCAGAACTGCCTCCATTAGTGCTGGGCGGTATACTAGTTCATACCAAATACCGGTGTTTATTTTTGTTATGATATGAATTTTTAAAATACCACAATACACCGGTATGTCGCTTAAACAACGTTCGGAACGCGACACTGTTTGAAAGGGGTCCCTTTTCACTGTTGCACTGTGGTGAGGGAACAGCTGTATGTGTTCCTAAGCGTGAAAGTTCAGAAACAAGCTGTAGAACTAATAGAACGTGATGACACAGAAGAACTCATCCACAATATCCACATTGACCGCCACAAATATCCACCGCCCCCTGCCATCAGCTCCCGCGTCTCACACACACACACGAGCGCAACTTTAGCACTAGATTTAGCAACTTTCAGACCC